ATGTCTTACTAGGCTTCTTGAAGGATTTACAAAATAGGTGCATAGTAACTTTTGGGAAAGCTGCATTTTTTATCAGGGGGTGGAGAGAGGTTATGTTCAGGCATGGAGGTGTTAGATCACTTCATGTAACAAAAGATTGTCTTATGCATCTCAATATATTTGAGAGATTTACCTGAATCAGTCTGGCAAAGTAACCTATCAAAACAAAATTCCCAATTAAGTCATCCTCCTAAAAGGAAAGACTAATGTATGCATAAGGAACAGACTCAATATTGCATATTTAAAAGACAGTTTCATCAAAAATACTTTTTGAAGGAGTGGATGTTAATTATTCATTTAATGGGAAAACACGTTTCCTGTGGCACTCAATAGATGAAATGTTAATTTGGGTATCCACCTAATTTTTTTGAATAACAATAGATTCTGAACTGATTGACATTTTATTTTTCTGACAATGCAAGAGAGAAACATCTGCTTTCATATTTGCTAGAAGTGTGGAAAATAACCATGGATAATATTATTTAATTAAAATTGCTAATAGAAAAAAAGGTTTAGTGAAACATTTTAATCAGTTCCAGCTTCAGTTGAAAAATATCGCAATGTTAAACTTCAAGAAGAATACTTTTTTATTGGTGAGGAGTAATATTCATCAGAAATAAAAGTGGCCTACCATTTTATGATACTTTGATGACTATCATGCACCATGATAATGTGTGCCTTACTGGATTGTCACATTTCGCCCTTTACATTAAAAGCCATTCTTAATTTGTGACAACATATGCTCATAGTCAACTCTTTTGAAAGTGAATAAACCCTTCTTTCTTCTATAGTTTATTTTTCTGGCAGAAGGCTAAAAAATATTTGATCCATGCCAACTCTATGGTCCAAAGATTATGAATCTGTCCTAATGAAGTGTTTGAAAGTTTCAACTGTTTATTTAAAGCAACATTTACTATTTTTCTGAATTAAAGTTTTAATGTAGGGGAAATGCAGAAAATTTAGAAACTACATAAAAGTGCAAAGGAAAAGCAATCCTCAAATCACTCACTCATTTCATTATTGCTTGGCTCTAATTCTAAATCATTTCAAGGTACTGTCGTCCTTGTGTTTTTTTGTTGTTTTTTTGTTTTTGTCAGGTATCTATTTTATATTTTTCATTAACTCTTCCTTGGTTCTCTTATGTTGTGGTTGCTTATAATATGCTTTATTGGTTTATCTTATTTTTCAGTGAGATCTTAAGGATGACCACATATATCCTTTCTAGTCATTATTTTGTTCTTTGTAGATTAACAACTGCTATGTGTGAATCACTGCATAGGAATATATGAGTCAATGGGCAAAGCTCATATCCTTATGAAACTTACTATGGATAAAATGCTTGATTTGGGGTAGCAGCACACAAGATTAGGTGCCATGCTTAATTCCTTTCTCCATCTGTATAGCACAACATGGGATCTATTTCCTTCCACATACACAATAGATGCTGGATGGACACATACGTGATGAATAAATAGTGATTATTGAATAAGTAGTCATCAGTCTTTTACCTGCACTGTCATATTCTTTTTTAAAAAATATTTTTAATATGTTTTATTGATTCTTTAGAGAGAAGAAGAGAGAGACAGAGAGTTAGAAACATCGAAGAGAGAGAGACATCCACCAGCTGCCTCTTGCACACCCCCCACCAGGGATGTGCCACAACCAAGGTACATGCCCTTGATCGGAATCGAACCCAGGACCGTTCAGTCTCCAGGCTGACACTCTATCCACTGAGCCAAGCTAGTTTTGGCCACTGTCATATTCTTAATAGTAAAGATTGGATAAATAAGATTTTGCTTGCCTCATTATGAAGTTGTATAGTAAAATATAACATTTGTATCTGCTTAACAATTAGCAAACTGTTGTTCCATTATCTCAAAGGCTTCCAATGAAGCCCAAGTAAAAGAACAAATATGCACTATTAAAAGAAAAGGACTATATTGATGTTATTTATAAGGAGTTCTTACAGTGTTGAGCAGCCATCCTATGTAATAAAAGGCTAATATGCAAATTGACAAAATGGTAGAACAACCAGTTTCTATGAGGGGCACTGACCACCAGGAGGCAGACACTTAATGCAGGAGCTGCAGCCTGGTGGTCAACACACTCCCACAGGGGGAGTGCTGCTCAGCCAGAAGCCAGGATCACAGCAGGCAAGCACAGTGGTGGTGGCATGAGCCTCTCCCACTTTCCAGGCAGTTGGACATCCCCTGAGGGTGTAGGCCAGGCTGAGGGACCCCCATTCCCCGAGTGCACGAATTTTGTACACTGGGTCTCTAGTGGAGAGATAAAGACATTTAATAACCCCAGGTATCTAAAACATGGTTATGTTATTGGAAAAAAACAACAACCATGGCCTTTAATTTTCAAATATCTGTTGAATATTTTAAATGCACAGATAATTATTTAGCTTCAAGAAAACATAGTAAAAGATACGGAATGCAGCAAAAAATAAGCTCACAGATGAGTTAGATAGAATCTCTGGTTGAAAAAGCTTTCAATATTATACATGAAAAGCTAATTTCTCACAATACATTTGTAAAATGTATCTAGAGCTTCACTCCACTCATCAACTGGCTAATTAAATTTCTTCTTCACATCTCAAATTTAACATCACTTTCTTAGAAGTCACCTATTCCTACACCAGGTTTTTTCCTATCAGGTTTTTCTTTATGCTTTTCTTATAGCATTCTGCATTTTTCATATGCAACACCCATATTCATAATCACATTATATTTGTAAATATTTAGCATCTGTCTTTTCACTATAGACAGTAAGCATAGAAAAGGCTCAACATGCCAACAGCGTGTCTGGTACAGAGTATGACCAATAAGTAGTTACTGCATGTAATAGGTCTAATATAGAAAAGACAATGACAGGGAAAGGGATTGAGAAAAAACAAAATGTGATGGGAATTTAATGGAAAGTGAAAACAGATTTAACGTGGGACCTCAAAAAAGGCTCTATGTAAAATTCGAAGTGGACTTTGGAGGATGTGTGTGAATGCCACCTGTGAAGCTCCATGGACAAGCCTCCAGGGGATGGGACAGAAAAGAGAGATTGATGGGAGCAATAATGAGCAGGGCCAACATAACCATTAGGTACAATAAACACTGTGCCAGAGCCCATAATTCCCCACCCCTGTTTTTAATCCTCACCCAATGACATTTTTTATTGATTTTTAGAGAGAATAGGAGAGAGAGGGAAAAAGAGAGAGAAATATTGATGTGAGAGAAATCCATGGATTGGTTGCCTCCAGAGTATGGCCCAGACCAGGGAGGTGCCTGCAACCAAGGTTCATGCCCTTGATCAGAATCAAATTCAGAACTCTTCAGTCTGCAGGCCAAAGCTCTATCCACTGAGCCAAACAGGCTAGGGCCCCATAATACTTTAAGGGGCCAACTACACGTTATAAATTCTAATTTTTGATTAAAAAAATGAACATTTTAATAATGAATTCAGTGTATGCCAATGTAAGCATCAAATATAATTATTCTATTTTATTTTTTTAATAGAGGAAGGGATCCAAGAAGATAAAGGTGCCCAGGGCCCATGAAAGTCTTAATGCAGATGAGTTTGTCACGTGGTGCATGGTATTTTGGCCAGAACGAAGAAAAGGAATAGATCTAAAGCTGCAGATGCAGTTTGGTGTCAGGGCAAGGAGAGAACAAATGACGGGCTGGGGAGGTTCTTCAAACTTTGATTTACCTTCAGGGAATTTTGTGTTAACTTTTCCTCGAAGGCGGACTCTAGGAAGAGAGTTCTTGCAGGAAGGAAGAGGTTGGATTGGGTGTAGTAGTAGGGTGACTAATTAAGAGCCCATTTGCCTTTGTTCAGATGAGGTATATGCAAGTATAATGGCATAGAGTGGGTGGTAGGGGAACACCAAGCCTAACAGGAAGTTTAAAGTAAGGCCTCCTTAGGGACAGGTGATGTTTGCATCAAGTCTTGAAAAAGTAAATACTAGCCAAGTAGTTCAAAGCAGAAGGGCATGCAGTACATTTTTTAAATTATAGGAACTTGACTCTTATTTAAAAGACTGTTAATCTTTTGGAATATCAGTTTCTTTACCCAGATGTTCAGTTTTTTGTTTTTTTTATGTTAAAAATAAAAGAAACATAAAAAGGAACTCAAACGTTATGCTGGTGAAAAGAGGAAATAGTCACTGATAGTTAATAGTTATCTGTGTTTTAGAGATTTCCTTTTCTGGAGACAGAGGGACAGACTAAATGAATCTTCCAGATTCTGGTTCTTTAATTTGATAACTTGAGAAGTATGAAAATGATTTAACATGGTTAAATCACTGAGATTATATTTAATACTCTCTAAACGAAACTAATTATTTTTATAGTATTGAGATTATATCAGACAACCTACAAAAAATTTATCATCACCCTGTATCATGATAAGAAGAGTGAAAGATGTCAAAATCGAGCCCTTTGGCAATTTTTAGCATCTAGTAGACTTCACTAGCAATATTACTGACATTGATCAAGACAGAATTTCCAGAATCAAGCTCATTGGCAGTTGGAAAGCAGCTAAATTGTTCTCCCACTTGGTGTTGCAACAATTCTGGGGCTGCATTTAAAACATTGGTATCAAAATAGGAAATGAGTCCAAGTCGACGTTCCTCTTGTTCCTCTGGAGGGTAAAGGTCTGCTTCTTTCAATCAGTTCCAACTGACAGGCCTCCTGCCATCACCTCCTCCTTAGCCAGGCAGGCAGGCCCTGGCTGTCAGTGTGAAAACATCTGTTGAATGGATTTATTGACTAGACCTTGTTTTTTTTTGTTGTTGTTGTTTTTTTTTCCTCTCTCCCTTTCTCTGTGTTATTTTTCTCTTTTGCCTTCACACCGTTTATTATGTTGCTGACCTGATGAACTTAATTTGTTGACATGCCGCTCTCAGTGTCGCCCTCAATGCTGAGCTCACGTTTCTTTCTACTGTGCTTTTTCCTTGGCAGCAGCCCTTCCTGGAACCCCAGCACGCACGTGCGCGCCAAGCTCCGCTGGCTGTGGTTGGCATGGATGGATTAGAGAAACATCCTCTTGTCTCCAGGACTCTCTCCTCCCCTGCTGCCTCCATGTTACCCCACCCAGCCGTGGACCGCCCGCTCCAGCCTGGCTCTGCAACTGGTAGGAATCCCCAAAGACTCTCCCTAATAGGCAGGCTAAATGTACCGTTCTTGTAGGATTAACCGATTTAAATGCTCTGAATAACTCCAACAGCAGAACGCTCCATTTTAACCCAAAGCAACCTACGTTTTATGAGGTTATATTGGCTGCAAGACAAACAGCACATCTGATAAATCTTGGGCTTAGTATTAATAGCCTCATAAATTGTTATCATTCAAGGGCCTGGAAAACACATCAACAGGTGCATGGGTCCCTTTTGGAAACAAAAATCCCTACTACTTTTTTTTTTTTTTTTTTTTTTTTTTTTTTTTTTTTTTTTTTAAGCCGTGTTCTGCAATCTCTTCCTACTAGCAGTGCTGGCCACTAGGAAATTTATGATGCTCAGTTACATTGGAATCTGAAGAGTGTCCCTCTCTCAGTTGTTTTTCTTGTTCTTTTGTTTTACTGTCTTCTTCTGACTTCCCATGCAAGTGCCTCATGGAAGACAAAGGTGCCAAGCAAACCAAACTTAATTCCATATAATTAGTTCCACTTCCATTTTTTATGGCACCGCCGGTCGGGCTGTTCAACCAACCTATTCCTTTGCCCACAGCTGTGTTTAATATTTCAGCATCTGGCTGCAGAGGAAAACAAACCAGATAATCCCAATGTCAGAGGAAGGTCAAGTCTAGAACACAAAAAGAAAAAGGGGTGCTGTTCCCTCTAAAAAGGAACTACTTCTTTCTATTCCTTTGACCCTGTTCTTACTCCAGATTCCCAAACTGCCTGTTCCAGTGAAAGCTATTGCAGCCTAAGGGATTCATAATTTAGTTGCCGCTCAGGGAGAATTCATAGGGGCTCATAGGTTATCTGACTTATGTTTTAATCAATTTGGAGGATTCATAGTTCCTTTGTGTGGCTTCTGTGGCCTCAGGCACCCCTTTGTGCTTAGAAAAGTTAAAATACCTTTTATGAAATGACATTCCAAAGCCTCGGTATCATTTTTTTTTTTTAATTTTAAAAATCATTGAATGAAAAGAGCAAGTTATTTAACTTTGTCAGATATCCTGACAAAATATATACAAGAGCTACTTTTTATAATGTTTTGCCACAAGCCAACATTTTATACCCGGAGCTACAGGCTGGGCATATTTGGATATATTTCTTTTACCACATTAGCCACTGCCTCCGATCCCTTTATTTCTTGGAGCACAGCAGTCCTGTCCCAGACGACCAGGGCTGCAGCCCAGTGCGAGCGGAAGCTGCATGGATCACTCATGCCTGGTTCTACCCCTGGTCCTCAGAGAGTTTTTGTTCAAAGCCAAATATATGTTGCAGAGGAATGCTTTTGGTAGGAATGCTTTTGAGCATGGTCTTTAAGAATTACTTACTTCTCAATTCTTTTTCCTGAAAGTGGTTATTATTCAGCCTTAAGCTTACAGAGAACACAGAGTCAAAACCAGCCTATCATCATGCCAATTCCATTCACTCCAAACAATCTCCATATTTTATACATGAGCTTAACTGTACTTTTTTGTGGCACTATTCCCACGTAGGCTGCTGTCTACTCTCACAAGTCCACTGATAGATTTTTTTTCTCTTGGCTAATAGGAGCAGCCCTTTTCTGATATGCTTTGGTTCCCTTTACTTGTCTCTTTGATATGAGTGAAGCAAAATCTCTCAATATGAGAATAATCCTAGAAGTCTGAGAAAACAGTGTTGCCAAATGGACAGGTCTGTAGGCCTTAGGACAATCCTGGTGAAAGAGTGTATTGCAAATCTTATAATATACCTGACATAAGCAGAACCTAATCATTCAGCCGAAATACTGGTCATTTCGGGTGATTATTCTCTTTTTCTTAATGTCAGCTTCCTAGCATTTATCAGAGTTTATATTCTAAACACAAGCAGGGAGATGAACTTAAGATTATTTTAATATTTAATGGACTTGAGAAGGCATATTTCTGGGCTAAGTAAGAACTTTCATAAATTTATGTTTTAAAAACACAGGAATTTATACTTAACAGGCATTCAATAAATTTTAGTTGAATCAGCAAATGATTTGTATAGCGAATATATCACATAGATATAGTCATAAACACACGAATTTAATAGGTCAAATCTAAAAACTGTGAAAGTAAAATTTATTTGAATTTATTGTTCTGGTTAAAGAATAGTTAAGTGATTTCAATGTTATATAATTTAATAGAGACAACCCTGCTTATTATCTTGATTGACCTTTAAAATGTCACATTCTAACGCTTGAATTTTTAAAATAAAAAGGCTCAATAATTATTTTAAACCATGCAAGCTATATAATTTTTATATCCACTGTATATTAGCCCTTCCACTGTCATAGGGATTAAAAGCATGTATATAGTTGGTAACTTTCATTTAGCAGTTTTCCAAATCCAGAGGTAATGAAATGCACAGTTTTCACTCTATTCCATATTGTTCTGGCATTAATCCAAACTTAAATTACCTCTGTAGCCTTCAATACTCTTATAATCCACTTTTCATTTTCCTGTTCCTAATGATCTTCATTTTGGAGAAGATCATTCCTCAAAGGCTTTCATTTGTATTATGTTTGTAAACAAATATTTTTAAGTATTAAACTCCTTTATTTTGAAACTTTAATATTTATTTGTTGTATATTAAAAAAAATCAAAAGTGACATTCAGTAATGTTTCTTGGGAATACTTAGTGGTTTTATTTTTAGAAGAAAGTGATACAATCTCACACACTCAAGTTGTTCCACTAAAAAGTGAGGAAGAGCCCTAACCATTTGGCTTAGTGGATAGAGCATCTGCCTGCAGACTGAAAGGTCCCAGGTTTGATTCCAGTCAAGGGCATGTACCTTGGTTGTGTGCACATTCCCAGTGGGAGGTGTGAAGGAGGCAGCTGATCAATGTTTCTCTCTCATCAATGTTTCTAATCTCTATCCCTCTCTCTTTCTCTCTGTAAATAGTCAATAAAATATATATATTTTTAAAAGTGAGGAAGAGAAAACAAATGTGTTCAAAGCTATTTGCTTAAATCTATCCTGTAAAAAAATCTATATTTTTTGATACGACTAAAAAAGGTATTTAATACTAAACTCACATAATTTTCAAGGCACACCATTGAAGCCTTCACTCTTTATGTGGATTTCCAGCAGCCAATTGTAGTAGCCACACCAGCCCCTTTTTATGAAGAACAAAGCAATGTTCCAAGGGGAAAATATCTGAGTTCAGTCCGTTGTTGAAAGATGAAGTCTCCAGTTCATTTCCTGTGAAGACGTGACTGGACCACGAAGCAGAGACAGAGAGGTAGCTTCTATCTGGTGGCCCTCGGGTCCTGGGTGAAGAGATTTCTAGGAGGCACAGGAAGAGCACATCATGCAGCTGCTGTAGTGACAATGAAGGGCGTATGTTGTAGTGTCAGGTTGCCGCATATTAAAGTGGGTTTTATGTTGTATTTGAACCTGCATAATAATACTCAATTTAGGGGGTGCTCTTTTCATTCTGCTTAAAGCCAAGGCATGGCGTTTTTATGTGATCTGATAACTAAGGGAAAGGCAGAGTATTCTATCTTAGTCATCTCTTCTCAACGATTCCTAGCAGAGATGTGGCTCTCAGCCCTCAATTCACAGCAGGGCAGCCAATGATGTCACTGTGCTTGTTCATACCAAATGGCATTCATTGAAACAAGAATTTAATGGCACATAAACTTGATTGACTTTATCTTCCCTACCACCCAGTACAACTTAAAGCCTTCTTTACCCCAACACTATGTTACTTTACGTAATTTGTGAGTAAGTTATTTCTTTGTAATAGTATCTCCTTAGTTAGAGTCTAATACACAATAGAACTATGGTGCTCCACTAAACCAACTTTTGCAAAAGCTAGTAAGGTACTTTGAATACTTACCTTGTTTAATAAAACTAAAATTCAGAGAAAGCACAAAGTCCAAAATATGTATCAAAACTTTTTGAGGATTTTTTTTGTAGAAAATAAATTAATAGGGTTTAAAATGCAGGTAAATACTTTATGTTAAGACTCTTGTGTATTTCCACAAATCTTAATTTTAACTCATCCCATTGATTATGAGAGAGATGGATCCACTGGTTTATGTTGCAAGTGGTAACCCATGGGGCAGAAAGGGTCAGAGAAAAGTAGAATTCCATATGAATCCCAAAGAGAAGAGCAGGATTGCTTCTCACCCTATAAGTCTTTGTTTCTGAAAAGAAAAAAGGGAAAGAATGGAGATGAAGGATGAGGTTAAAGTCTCACCTTGCAGTCTACCTGTTAACACCTCATTGCTACATCATTAAGATGAATAAGTGGAGGTATACGTTTCCAGACTTTATTTATTCCTCCTTAAATTCAAATGTCTTTCCAAGAGCTCCTGGACTTTGTGTTATAATCTCCAGATACTTGGCAATAACTTCCAGGTACTGTAACCTGTTTCATAATTTTTGTTGGCAGTGATTTATAGAGAAAATATTAAAAGAGGAGCAGTTACTATCGAGGTGAAGTTAGATATGCCAAGAGATGAAATAGTTAAAAAAAATAAGCAACTTAATTATTTGAATCTCTACTATTGAAGTATATGTTTTAAAATAAGGGAGATACTATATTTTTCATTTTTGTGTATCACTAATGTATTCTTTACTTTGTGTATTATGAAACTGTGGTTGAAATATGTTAAATCATTTTTGTTAGGTAATAGCAACTCATAAATACTCAATACATCTGAATTGTGAAGACACGTCCTTTATATCTTTATATTTTGGATTTTTTTTTTATGATTGCTCGCTTTCCTGTCTGCCTTCTTTTATTAGGACTTTATTTAAAAATATTTATTCACTTCCTTTAGTGCAAAGTATCACATAGATATAAAGGTGAGCACAATAAATGCCTATTTTAGAGATACTTGCCCATAGAATGATAAGATGTAACATAAAAGGTATTATGTTAAAGAAGGGATCCAAGGGATCTACTAGTTAGGCTCATCAAGGAAGGCTTCGCCGAAACCAGTTTGGCTCAGTGGTAGAGCATCGGTCTGCGGACTGAAAGGTCCCCGGTTCGATTCCAGCCAAGGGCATGTACCTTGGTTGCGGGCACATCCCCAGTGGGTGGTGGGCAAGAGGCAGCTGGTTGATGTTTCTCTCTCATCGACGTTTCTAGCTCTCTAGCTCTCTTCCTTCCTCTCTGTAAAATATCAATGAGGTATATTAAAAAAAAAAAAAAAGGAAGACTTCATCAGGGAGATATCTGACCTAGTTCTTGCATCTATCATTTATAGGATGGGACAAAAGTAGGTTTATAGTTGTTCCTACGGAAAATAAATGCAATAATTAATGAATATGAGTAAATTCTGTGTTTCTCATACTCACTACTTTTGCTCCTTTGTATGTATATTTTTTATTCATGAAAAATACTTTTGAGAACCTACTATATCCCAAGCATGTTTACAGAGTTCAGAGGTTAAACAATACAACTCTAGTCTGTGTTTTCATAGATCATATCATAATTTACAAATTATACACCCATTAGATAGTGTGATAAATGCTCTGAAAACCTAGAAGATGCTGTGAGTACATGTGGTAGGAGACCGAATGTAGAGATCTCAGGGGATGCTTTGTTGAAGAATGACATTAAAACAGCCTTGAAGAATGAATAGGAATTGGCCAAATGAAGGCTGGAAGGAACAATTTTGGCATAGATGGAGCAACATATATGAAGAATGCAAGACTGATATGATTATGATCCTTTTGTGAAATGGAAGGTAGGCCTTTGAGGGAGAAGAGATCAGGATAGGGAGGTGTGTGCATGAAGCTGGAAAAAGGGGAGGGGCCTATCTATAGACTGACCTTGAAAAAAGGTAATCCCATCAGCTATTGTGTGGCAGATGGAATAGAGTGAAAGTCAGGTAACCTATTACAGTGCTATCTCAGGAGTTCAGATTAGAGATAATAAATAGCACCTTGGATTGATTGTATATGGTTTTGGCATTGGAAATAAGTAATTCAAGACATAGTTTAGAAGGAAAATACACACTACATTTGTTCATTGGATAGGGAGTGTCAAGAGGACACTGAGATTCCTTGCATGAACAATGATGGATCATGATATCCTTTTCCGAAATGAGGAAAAAGGATGAGGTTTAAGATCATGAACTCAAAACTGACACATCCAAATGGAGACTGTGAATGGGTAATTGAATAGTTGACTGTGCAAGCATACTGCTAAGAGAAGAGATCACTACTGAGGCTGATAATGTGAAAGGCTCAGGGGTCTAGAGATAGATTTTAAGGCTATTTAAGTGTTAAGAATGAATATTATATATACTTAGATGTAATTATTATCACATGGTTTCAGAATATATATGTCATTCTTCTGCATAATTTTAGTATATACAGGAACGAATATTTTCCCTTCTTCAGTAATATTTTTCTAGTATGATACTTAAGTCAAAGGGGAAATAAAATTAATTAAGCTTATTTTATAACACAAATAGTTGGTACTTAACTGTTTTTGAATATATAATTGCTTTTGCTTTTTAATATCTTAACATGGATTCTTCTGCCCTCGCTTCATTCCCCAGAGAATGTATTTTGATGCTAATTTATTGGAATATTGGTTAAATAATTTCTTATGCCAGGCAGTTTTGTAAGTGACATGTGTTCTCCCCCAAGGAATTGGATTAAGGGTGTAAATCTTTTTCAAAATTAACCAGTTGTAATTATAATGTAATTTGTTACTTTAATAAGTTCTATTTTTTTTGTATCTTTAGTAGTTCATTTCATCAAGTGTTTATGAAATCTTTCCCAGCGTAGGATCTAACTGAAATATGAAATACGTTAACTTATGGTTAAAAGCAGATTTTATTCATTAAGTATCTTTAATTTTTACTAAAGGGATTGCAATTGACTTATTTTCTATTTTATTTAAAATTTTTTAACTTATTTAAAAAAAGAAATACTTCAATTGTCCCACAATATTATAAGATCTGCAATACCCATATTGCTTACAGACTGGCCTAAATTATGAGAAAAGCACAATAAGCAAAGGAGAAACTCTTCCTGCACATCTTTGAATGAGTTGATAAGCAGAACAGGCACGCAGTTGGAAAGTCTTCCAATTTATTACAAAGATGTAACTTGATCTAAAATGAGGCTAAAATTACTCATGAAATAAATTCACAATTTAAACTCAGCTCATTTTGTGGCTTTAGTGATAAAATGTAAACCTCTACTAAATTGAATTAACTGTCAAAAATACTTCATAATGATTTAAAATACCAGTAAAATTTGTTTTTGTTTTTAGTCTAAAGTTTTAAAATATTTTCTTAAAAATATTACCATCTTCATTACTTTATAGATTTACTAAGCTAGGGTCTGAGTGCTGATTAATCCAGGGGTGAGTTTTTGCTTGTATGTCCAGATACACAGGACTAAATACCTCTTATGTGCTCCTGGGAATTGATGGATAGGTATTATTTCTCTATTAGTAAATTTATTTGAAAAAGAATGCCTTTCTGAGTAATCATATTGTCATTTAACTATGCATTATTACTCAGTCTTGTGCTGTGTGTTCTTGTCCGGCAGGAATTGCCTATGACCCTCTGATGCTGAAACACCAATGCATTTGTGGCAATTCTACCACCCACCCTGAGCATGCTGGACGGATACAGAGCATCTGGTCACGGCTGCAAGAAACTGGGCTGCTAAATAAATGTGAGGTAATCCTGAATTGGCCACACTCTTTTACTTACTTAAATAAATCATGTAAAGAGGCCAGTATTCATTTGGGTAGCAGTAGAAAAATGTTAACTCTGTAGCACCAATACCGTAATTGATGAACCATCATTCATGGGTACTAGTAGCATAGATCTGATGACCTGACTGGATGGGCACACAGTAGGTACAGTCAGTATTGATAGACTGAGCAGCTGCCTAATGTGTGTGCTATTTTTGCAGCATTTGCTTTGTAGACACGCTAGCATTCCTATTTCTAGATAGGTATTATTTCTTGAGTTAACTGAGAAACTCTTCACAAACTCTTAAGTGCTAAGTAGTTGTTATTTTGTGTTATAAGCTCTACTGAACTCAGATATATGTCAGTTTTATTTTATGGAAATAAATATATTTAGAATTTTAACTCCTCTTACCAAGAAGAATCACTTTTTTTTTTTTTTTTTTTTTTTTTTTTTTTTTTTTTTTTTTTTTTTTTTTTACTGATGTGTCTATTGTTTTTATATTTCAGTGGTACAGGCTTGAATACTTTTATCAATATTTCTTTAGACTCATTTCTATAGGTTCCTGATGAGTCCCATTTTTTATTTAGAAAAACTGTTTAGGCTTTTAAAGATTAAAAGTAAAAATGATGAACAATTCAAAAAGGCTCCCATTTTTAAGAAGAAATTAAATGGATAATATATTCTAGTTATGTCATGAGGAAACTGATATATTGAAACCATATTAAAGTCACTCTACTGTGATTAAGAAGCAATTTTTTAAAACTATTTTTGAGTTAATTAGTTTTTGGCAACCTAAAATGAAGTCAAGAAAATTCCTATTTGAAGCCAATTTAGTTTTAAGTGAAACTGTAGAATATTTCAGTTGAAACTGAAATGCCAAAGTGGATGGGATGTCTTTCAGAGTCAGCTGCACTGGCCTACATTGATAGCATGGGTTGCATCCATCTGATCATCTTTTCTGCAAAATAGTAAAAATAACCAACTTTTGAAGGTGCACTGATTGGTTCAATGCATTCGTTTCTAGTGATAAATTATTTTCCTTATTCATTTTCTTTTTCAAAGATGAATAATCTATCTCATCTTACTGGGGAACTAAACAGTTATATTCTGTATCTCAAATCCTAGATAACATCACTGGGTCATTGAGCAGCTGGGACTGAGAATGAGTACTCCAGAGCAGTGGTATAGATTTAGTTTCACAAGTTATATTATACATTTATAGTAGAATTGTCAAATGTTTTTCGAATTTAACATTCTACTTTTGACTAAATATATCCTTTATCTTCAAACCCCAAAGTGAAGGAATTTGAGTGAGATTTCTCTCATTCTTTCCTGAGTGAAAGTATATTAGTCATCTTTTGCTGATAGCATCCATATTATATGGCAGAAGGCTTTCATACCCTTTGATAAATTTTACTTTTTTATTTTACTTTTTGTTCATCCCCATTCAAGAATATTTTTCCATTGATTTTTGAGAGAGAGAGAGCAGAAGAGAGGGTGGAGGAAGAGAGAGAGAAATGAAACCTTAATGTGAGAGAGACACATCCATTGCTTCCCTCTCTCACTCACCTAGCATCAAACCTGCAACCCAGGTATGTGCCCTGGACTGGAATCAAACCTCTGACTCTTCAGTGCTTGGGCTGATGCTCTAACCACTGAGTATCACAGCCAGAGCTCTTTGGTAAATTTTAGAGTTAGTGTTAAGGTTGCCAGGGTATTGACAATACAGTTTGGAGGCCACGTCACTCTGTTGTCTGTACAATCCTATCTGGGGCCCATAAATCAGCAAGAGACTCATTTGCTGTGGTCTGGACATTTATTCATGTGAACATTCCTATTGCACTTTAAAAATATATATATTTTATTGATTTTTTTTTTTTAGATAGAGAGGAAGAGAGAGGGATAGAAAGATAGAAACATCCATAAGAGAGAAACATCATCAACCAGCTGCCTCCCATCTGCCCCCTATAGAGGATTGAGCACGCAACTCGGGCATGTGCCCTGACCTGGAATGGAACCAGTGGCCTCTTGGCTGAACTACACTAGCTGGGCTCACTTTACATTTACGGTAAATGTTTCCCAGCTCAGCAATCTTTCTGTGCTTTGCCCAGGGAAGGCATTGCTGTTTACATCTTTTGACTTTCAGGTCTTTGTTATACCCTGGAGCCTTATCCCGGCCACTCCAAATTAGCAGTGGCTCGTCACAGCACTCAGTGGGTTGTTAGATTGTGGCGTTTCTTACATCTCTTAACTGAAGGAACGCTGTTTATAAATGGAGCAAAGTACAGAAATATATAGTCCACAACAGTCTTCAAATCTGTCTGTTACCATCTATTTCTGCCCAGTCTTCCTTTTCATTTCCTCATACATCACATTATTTTAGTCGTATATTATTGGAAACCACCAAAGTTCATTCATAGGACACATGGACTGATGTGAGAGCAGACCCAGATGAAAAGTCAGAGGCACTGTGGGGTTGACGAGGATATATGAGTGAGACTAGTCCCAGACCAGTAAGCTAGGTAAGAGTATTTCTGGCAAACAACCTCACAATTAATAGGTAGTGTACTTGAAAGCCCAGATCAGAAGAGTTGATCTTAATGAAGACTAAGCATAAAAGGCTGATCCCAACTTCCCAATAATGCTAACATAATGCTTCACTAGGATCTGCTTTCTTAAGGGATGAAATTGTTGCCCATGTGTGTTTATTTGCTCCTCTCTTATCAAAATCAATGACTTTATGCTGACCTAATCCAAAATCCAAAATAGAATTTCTAAAATCATTAGAAAACAATTTAACTTTAAAGCATCTAGGATGTAATATTCCTTTGCCTCTGTATAAATGATTTTAAAATATAAAGTGGAATTTTGGGAAATGATCATTAGCTAAACAAATGTAATCCTTTTCTATAGATTTTAATGTTCTGGATAAAAAACATACTACCAAAAGGTATAAAACAAAGAACCAAAAGAAACATAAATAAATAGGTCACTAAGCTCCCAAAGGGATTTATATTGCAGCAATTTTAAAGACTCGTTGATTGAGCTGGAGGAATCATAAAATGAGAAGGACTGTGGTCAGCAGCCTCCATCGTCTTAACAGCCTCAGAGAGAGAGGAAGATATACTATATATCGGAGTGCATCGGTGGGAGGAGGCAGTGTGCCAGACCTCTTGTTGAAGATTTTGCCCTCCTTTATTCTGTCTGTAGTCATGCTCCTTTGTCTGTTTAGATTACTGTTTTCCTGGGACAGAGTGCAAGGAGTCCCAGTTCTGCTGGCACACAGAGAAGAGCCAGCTTCTGTCAGTCAATGGAGTAGCCAGTTTTGCAATTCAACAATGATATGATAGAAAAGAGGGCAATTTGAAAACACTCAGAGGGCTCAATTGTTTCGAAACAATAGACTGGTCCACAAATCAAATTTATGTATTGTGTCATTTCATTTAGCAGTGTAGCAAATTAACCAAAATGGATGCCCCAAAGGTTATTGTTCAGCATTAGCGTTGACCTTAGTCCTGCCATCAATTATCTGTGTACTTTTGTCAGAACATTTAACCTTGGGGAGAACACTGCCTAGGATCCCTTCCAGCTGCAATGTTGTATGGAATTAGATGGCTAAGGAATTCATTTAGAACATAACCCTTTCCTTCGTTAAGAGTAGACAACATCTGTAGGCTGTTCCAGTTTGTAAATTGGCCATATTTACTAGTTCTGATTAGCAGCCAGAGAAAACATTGGTTCTCATTGTGTTAGGTTACCATGGTTCCGTGGGTTAACTTCTTTCGGCATGACGTGGCACTGTTTTTGAAAACTTGAGGTGCTTCGTATTCCTCCAAGCCAGTACCATTTACTTTCTCTCCTGCCGAAGCATCCATACTTAGTTTAGTGATTTGGTTGGGAGCAAAATGCAAAACCAGCAGCTCTCTTGTCACCCCGAGAAAGAGATCTCGGGAGGTCAGGCGGTGCCCTCTTCAGGACCGAGCTCTTGGACAAGGTCGCCAGGGTTCTGACATGTGTGCCCCCGAAGGGAAGAATGCCCTCGTCTGTGTTTAGGAAATTGCGGAGATTGACCCATCATCTGTTAGAAATGCACTGGCAGTTGTTTTTCCAGAAGTGCTCATGACTCTCAGCCCCACCAAGCCACCCACAGACATTTGCTTGCTCTCACATTTGTTTTGAGAATAACAACATTTTATAATGCTTTTGTTGGATTGCACATCATGTGGACTCCACGTTGCCTCTTTGTGACTAGTATTGAGTAACTTTGCTTCGCTTAATTCCTAAGTAAAAAGCATAAGCAGCACACTGTGCTGCAATACTTAACTCTTATTTAAGCACCAACACAAAGTAATTACAAAGCAATTCTGGGTCCCCAAATCAAGCTCCTGCTGTCCCTTCAGAACTCCTCTACAGTTCAGAGAGAAAAGGGGGAGCTGGTTCAATGTAAAGTCTCCACGTGCCAAAGAGCTCAGGGCTAGCATATCCAGCACGTGTTCCTGCACACACACAGGTGATTTTCACATGCCTTTTGCAAATCTGAATAAAGAAATACAATACTTTTGGAGGAATACTTTGGAATGTGCAGGTTTTCTGACCTCAATGCTACAAAGCACTGACTCCTGCAAGTTCATGGAAATGCCATTAAACGTATGTTTTATAGAGTAATCTAACTAGATGGCAGCACATAACAGCTTACTGTTTTGTTTAGTTTGCAAAAAATAAAAGTGTTTTTGTGTTCTAGAATCGAACACAGTGCAGTAGAAAGCTCAAGCAGAGAGTCTTGTGAATTGTCTCTAAGGATGTAGCAAACTTGGGAAGCAGCACAAGCAGTCTAGATGTGATGAGTAAACCAATGCATTATGTCATTGTTCTGAAGGAGATTTGTACACTACAGCAGAGTGGACCGGGCAGATAAATACCTTAAAAATGCTTGCGCAGCTTATAATAAGAATTAAGATGATTCTGAATTGTTTGTTTGGATT